ACCACCCCCCCTAGTTTGTAGGTATAACCCTTAAAACTGTGTGTAAGTAGGGTCCAAGGTCAACCCAAAGGGTCTTTGTACCTAAAGCGGAGCGCCTGTACAAGCAGATACCATTGAGGTGCACGGGTGCTTAGGGCAACATTTAAAGAACCCAAAACCCTAAACCCTAAACCCAAAACCACCGTTTGCTATACACACCTCGATGGGCATGTCCCTATACTGCACGGACTTTTACCTTGGACCCATAAAGTCGCAGTCTTGGGCTTGGGGACAGGTTGTTTTTTCAGATCCTCTACGGGAATTCAAGTGTAGATTAAGGGAACCTCTTAGTGGTACATCCTTACGGATCCAAGTATGACTCCTTTGAATTCTTCCGAGGATCTACTCATCAGGTTGCTGGAGCCGTTAAGGACATACAAATTCGGCCCCTGAACCCTAAACCCAACCTTAAACCCTAAACCCTAAACCCGAAACCCCAAACCCTAAACCCTAAACCCCCCCGGGAGGTATAGGGCTAAACAAGGCACCTTGCTTGGCTCGGCGGGCGGTGGAGCTGCCGGCAGTGCCTACAAGGGTTTAAGGGCTTAGGGGTTTAGGGTTTAGGGTTTAGGGATTTTGCAGGTTTTAGGGTTTGGGGAAAGTAGGGGGGAAGGGGGCTGCGCTGTTTCTTTGGGGACCCCTTTGGTCAGTAACCCCCCCGCCCAACCCAAGCGCAAGGACTAATGTGTGGAAGTGTTGATGCAAAGCCTGCGCGCTAGCCGGTGTTCGAGAGACTGCATGTTTCTGCCCCATGGGTTAAGCAATCTCCAACCCCCAGCGTAGGCTGTGCGAAGCCTTCTGGGTGAAACCACATCACAAGAAGTCCAACAGTATCATGCTGGTTGCCGACATTGTGTGTACTTCGAGGATCAAGGGTGACCCAAAGAAACGGGGCAACAACAGCACATGCCTTTCAGGTACTCCTAACCCTAAGGGTCCATGTACCTCATTCTTGTATACTTGGGCCAAAAGTCGCTAGAGAGGAGGTCCTTTAAGGCCCAAGTATTGCCTATTTAGCTACATGGACTCTTAGTCTAACTCTACTTTGTACCTACTACTTACTATGTGGGTTTAGGGTTTAGGGTTTAGGGTTTAGGGTTTAGGGTTTAGGGTTTAGGGACCCGATCCTCCAAGCAAAAGAGGGGGAGTATTGGAACAAGTTGGGGTCGGCTGTCTTGCTTCCGAAGCTTCACATCCCACACTATCCAATATCCATCAAAACTTTCTTTGCGTTGGGGGTTCCGGGCTGAGGGATTGTTAGGAATTCGTGGGGTTTAGCGTTTGAGGATTCAGGTTGGGATGTTCCCCGTTATACTAACAGTCCTTGATAGGGATTATAATACCCCCTATTCGGAACTGTTAGTTTAAGGGGGAACATCCCAAGAATCAGGGCTTACGGGGATTCGTAGGGTCTAGGGTTTTAGGAATCTGGGTTTAGGGTGAAGGTTCCTTCCCCCGGCCTGCTTCGCCAGTTTGAGCTGCTGCCTTCGTTCCTGGGCTAAGCGCCAAGCCTGCGTGTTAGGGTGTAGGGTTTATAGGGTTTAGGGTTCAGGGCTTAAGGGATTCAAGGGATTGAAGGGCTCTGAATCTTAAAGGGGTTCGGGCTGAGCCCCAACAAGTATAAACCAGCTGACAAGAGGTTCCGGAACGTGGTACCCCTGTTCAGGGTTCAGGGTGTCAGTCGAAGGTTTTCAGTGACCCAGGGAAAAACAAGTACAGAACCTAATGGAGGGAACCCAGAACCCCCCAAAAAATGAAAAAGTAGACTACTGAACAGCCTAGCTCAGTGACCAAAAATGATAATCATAACGCATAATATTAATGGTAGTATAACAATCATCATGATCGAGATAAAGCTTAATCCCCCCCCCCCCCCCCCCCCCCGGCCCCTGGCCACCCCCCCGATGCCTCTTCTTCTTTGGAAGGAGTCTCTGGCACCTCATCCTGCAAGCGCTGAGGGGTTTGGGTGTTCAATGTGGGGGGAGTTTACGATGAGAAGGGACCACTAATGTAGGCCGCGAAATAGTTAGGGTTTAGGGTTTAGGGTGTAGGGGGGTAGGGTTAGGGTTTAGGGTTCAGGGCTTAGGGTTTGCGGTTTGGGGTTTAGGGTTTAGGGTTTAGGGTTTAGGGTTTAGGGTTTAGGGTTTAGGTCAAATAGTAGGATCTCCTTGTAGTAAGGACCCCAATAAGGTACACCTGGCGTAGAACAGATGGGGAACCCTACGGCAAACTGCTAACCCTAAACCCTAAACCCGAAACCCTAAACCCTAAACCCCTAACCCTAAACCCTAAACCCTAAACCCTAAACCCCAAACCCCAAACCTAATCAGGCACGGCCTGCAGCTTCGGTTTGGCCTAAACCCAACCCAAACTGCCAGAGCCTCAGTGGTTCCTGCCCAGCGCACCTCGTCCGAGTAGTCACCCCAACGCTTTCGAACCTCCCTGGTGCCGTGGGGCGCGGCCTCACAAGCAGCGAGCAAGACAACGAATTTGGTTGACGCAGTTGAGTTTGCCCAAGACCGACCTGAAAGAACTTACACGCAATTGTCGTGTGGGCTGCATCAATGCAACCTCGAAATCCTCTGGGTGCCACGCCCTGTACAAAGTTTGGGGTTACAGGCTGGAGAGTTTAATGTGTAAAGCTCCCGTACGCCGGACCTAAAGAACTCCTGAACCAGGGTTGCCTGAAACACCTATAACCCTAAGGGTCCATGTACCTATATAGTATATACTTGGGCCCTAAAGCTACCATATGGGAACCCCTTTAAGGCCCAAGTATAAACTATATAGGTACATGGACCCTTAGGGTAAGGCTATAAGGGCTCCTGTACAAAGATAGGCCCGACTTGCGCTTGAAAGCGCCCCTCAAATCTGGCGATGCCTGTCGGGTTCAGATTCGGGAGGCCCTTAAACCCTACAAACCCTAAAAACCCTACAAACCCTACAAACCCTACAAACCCTACAAGCCCTACAAGCCCTACAAGCCCTACAAACCCTACAAACCCTACAAACCCCAAACCCCAAACCCCAAAACCTAAACCCTAAACCCTAGCTTCCGTTGAGGCCTGTCGGCCGGAGACGTCAAGCACCGCGAAACGGAAACTTGCTTTCGGAAGCATCTAAAGATTCTAGGGTCTTTTGCAAGGAATCTGCACGGCAACAAGGTTTTCGCATGCAGCAGGCACGGATTTGTTTCCCCTGAATCCTAAACCCTAAACCCTAGATGCTGCTGTCACATGCTCGCCATGCTGCCCTTTCCAGCTGCAAGCTAGCGGCCAACTAGTCTCGCGGAGACTCCCACGGTCTGTTAACCCTCAACCCTAAACCAACAACCTTAAACCCCTAGACCCCTAATAAAACCCTGAACCCTTAAACCCCTAAACCCCTAACCCCTAAACCCCTAAACCCCTACACCCTTAAACCCCTGGACCCTAAACCTTAAACCCTAAACCCTAAACCCCTAGGGCCCTAAACCCTAAACCCTAAACCCTAAACCCTAAACCCCTACGGCCCTGGTTGAAAGGCACTTCGCCTGCTTCGGCGCTGCCTCCTCACGCGCTTCCTCTGCTTTTGCTTCGGGCACCTCGGTCCAACATGCATTGGGGGTTTAGGGTTTAGGGTTTGGGGGGTCTAGAGTTTAGGGTTTAGTGCTAGGGTTTAGGGTGTAGAAGTTTGGAGTTTTAGGGGTTTAGAGCTCAAGGTTAAGAGTTCAGAGGTTCAGGGGTTTAGGGGTTCAAGTTTTACGGTTCAGGGGTTTGGGAGTTTGGCGTTTTCGGGGTTTTGGGGCTCTAGGCGTCTAGGTTTCGATGGGTTTGGGGCTTAGAGGAGCCCTTTCCTCCGCCCTTCCAGCACCTCAATCCTTGAACCTCGCCAAGCACCCTTACGCTGTTTAGGGTTTGGGGTTTAGGGTTTAGGGTTTACTTTAGGATTTAGGGTTTAGGGTTTGGGGTTTAGGGTACCCTCATCAAGATACCCTCTGGGTAGCCACGTCCACACATTCAGGTTCTTGCGCGGGCAAATCCGCAAAGGCAGCAGGTCAACCATGACACCAAATACATCCTCAGTCCCCAACCCTAACTGCCTGAGATCTTTTAACCCTAAACCCCAAACCCTAAACCCTAAACTCTAAACTCTAAACCCTAAACTTCTTAACCCCCTAAACCCCCCTAAACCCCCCTAAACCCAAAACCCTGAAACCTAAGTTGTCTGTCAGTCAAGGCTCCGAAGCCAAAAGGGATGCCAACCAGGCCTGTCCGGGGGGCAAAAGGGATGGGTATTGGGTTTTGGGTTTAGGGTCTAGGGCTTAGGGTTTGAGGGTTTAGGGCCTAGGGCTTAGGGTTTCGGGTTTAGGGCTTAGGGTTCAGGGTTTGTGGGTTTGGCGGGTTGAGGATTTTGGGGGCCTGTGGTTCGGGGGTAGCCTAGTAGCCAGATACTAAGGGTACAACTGCTTCGTTCAATGGGGGGGGGTCATATCGCAAACAGGTGGTGCCGGCCAGGTGCTAAGTGAGTATCCTAATCCCTCGAGCCCGATAAACCCTAAACCCTCGACCCAGGGGGCACTGGTTGCATGCAGGAGCTGAGTTTCAGCTCCCAAGAAGTGGAAGAAGGGCTCTATCCTGGGCATCCCCGGCAACTTATCAGGGCTTAGGGCTGAAAGTCCTATCTAGTGGTGGTGATTATTGTCGCCTGCAAACCCTCGCTCACCTAAACTGGTTTAAACCCAATATGCCAAATTGAAAAGAACTACACAACCCAAAACATCTTTCCGCGCGCCACACAAAGCAATCAACCCATTGGGGCATGGGAGATCTCAGCAAAGGCGATCTTCCGGTTTCATCGGCTTGCAGCACCTATGCACGATGTGCATCGGAACTCCCTCAGAGTGCGTTCCGAAGCCAGCACTGTCGAGTCTCAGCAGTGCACCGCATCTACCGCAGCCATGCAAGCTCACCAGCCCTTGCTCATGGAGTTGACTCATTGCTGCTCGATGCAGCCACGTCGGAGCCATCACTGGCACTGCTGCCTGACAGCAAGCATGCCGCTTGAGCTTGGCCCCGTTGAGATGCCTGCATCAGAGCTGCATCGCCGGAAATATCGGGCGAGTCCATGCGGGCACACGCCTCCAGCAGCAGGCGCACGACCTCAGTGTGGTCATCTCGTGACGCCGCCATCAGCGCAGTCGAACCATCTTTTGCGGTCAAGTTGGTCTCTGCAGCGGCCCCCAGCAGCAACCTCACGACCTCAACGCGCAAACGCGTGATCTTACCGTCAAAGCTCCTTCCAGAAGCGAGTATCAGAGCTGTGAACCCACGCTTGTCGGTCAAATCGGTGTGAGCACCGGCCTCCAGCAGCAAGCGCACGACCCCGACGTGGCCCGGCCGACATGCGGCCATCAAAGCTGTGACACCCAAGATGGTGGCCAAGTTGACTTGAGCCGTGGCCGCCAGCAGCGTGCGCACGACCTCAACGCAGCCGAATTGTGCTGCTGCCATGAGGGCTGTCCAACCATCGACTTTGGGCAAGTTGACCTGAGCACCGGCCTCCAGTAACAAGCGCACCACCTCCACGCGACCCTGCTCCGATGCCAGTATCAGAGCGGTCCAACCATCGTATTTGGCCAAGTCAGTTTGAGCCTTCGCCTCCAGGAGCAGTCGCACTTCCTTGAGGGCACAAGGAACCCTAAAGTTAGGCTCATGTACCCTATGCTACCAGAATCCTTATTAAGGAATACTTGTGAACCATACACCCTTTTAGGGCTCATAATTCCTTCTTGAGGTTCGTCAATAGGGGCCACCATGAGAGCTGTGACGCCGTGCTTGTCCTTAAGTGCTGAGTTCATAAGCCCCCAAACAAGTGTGCACTTTCAGTTCTATAGGTAATTATAGTATCCCAAGAAGTGTAAAGTGTGCTCACTCAGCTACTTAAGTGTCGGCCAAGTCAGTCTGGGCAGCAGCCTCCAGCAGCAACCGCGCGACTTCAATGTGACCCTGCCGAGAAGCGAGTAACCTTGGGGACGAATTATGAACCCTAAAAAGGTTTATGGTTCCTATGACCTTCATAGGAATTATAGGAAGTATATGGTAATATGACCCCTAAAAGGGTTTATGGTTCATATGACCTTGATAGGAATTATAGGACTATTATAGGAAGTATATGGTATATGACCCCAATTTTAGGGTTCATCTCGTCCCCAAGGAACAGAGCCGTCGAGCCGCTGTCGTTGGTCAAGTCAGTCTGTGCCTTGGCCTCGAGCAGGAGGCGCACAACCTCGAGTTTGCCCGATCCTTGGGGACGAATTATGAACCCTAAAAGGGTTTAGGGCTCATATACCCTAATAGGAATTATAGTAGTCTAGGGTATCTGACCCCCCATTTTAGGGTACATTTCGTCCCCAAGGATCGAGATGCCGCCATGAGAGCTGTGGCGCTGTGATTGTTGGCCGCGTCCGGATTGTGTGGGTGCTGCAGCATGGACTCAATCTGGGGCAAAGCCAAACTCCAAGTACCGAAACGAGTCTTAAGACTGAATAGACTTAAGAGTCTTTTGCCACATGCCTAGAGACTCCGAAGGCCTGGAAATTGCGAACCTTCCTAGAGTCCTAGACGATGACCCCCTTTGGTGCGCGGGGGGCAGATCCCAGCGCCTCAGCCACAGAGCCCCCGGAAGCGGCGAAGATGAGCTCCTCCATCTGCTGCGGAGAGGCCGCGCAATGCGGGAGCAGGATGAGGTCCAGGGCCATAGGGCAGTCAATGCTCGCAGCATCATCCAGAGCCTTGGGGACCAAATGAACCTTAAAAGGGTTTCTGGTTCCACTACCTCAGTACGAACTATAGCAGTATTGGGTATATGATCCCAATTTTAGGGTTCATTTGGTCCCCCAATAAAACCTGGCCATGGAGAAGCAGCCGTTGCCGAAACCGCGGGGGCAGGTCGTGCAACCGATGCAGGCTCTGCTTCAAGGCCCTCACATCGCTGGAGTCCTGCAGTGGCACTTCCAGCACCTCGCCGCCGAGCATGCGGACGCAAATCATCGGGGTGGAGTAGGGTTTAGGGTTAGGGTGTAGGGCTTCGGGCTTAGGGTTTATGGTTTAGGGTTTATAGGCAGAACCCCTAAGGCCAGAGCTGCGGGGACGTGCGGCAGGCGAGATAAAGAGCCTGACAAGCCAGGAGCTGAAGCCACAGGCCTTTCATGGGTTCCCCAACTACCCTCTCTCCATACTAGGCCCTGTAGGTCCCCCCTAAAATAACCTTAATCAAGCTTAAATTGTCCATAAATAGCCTTAATGATGGGAGGACCCAGGCGGGGTAGTATAGAGGGGGGTAGTAGGGGATGAGCCTTGTGAACTGCAACCGAGTCTAGGGGGTAGCTTCCATGGTCCCTTAATCTGGTGGTTTACGATCTTGGGGGGGCACCTTCTTGGGGCGCCTTACTACAAGGGAATCCTACTCTTTGGGGGGTCTACATGTGGGGTCCGGCCCTTAGTATCATTGAATCCTACTATCTGGGGGTCTATATTACGTGGCCCTTACTTTGGCAAAAAAAAACCCAAATCCAGCCACCGAACCGAAAGCCTTGGGAATCGAGAGACTGTGGAGGGTGTGGGGCTACCATGAGGTCTCCAGTGACCTGCATATTCTGTATTCATGTTTAGGGTTTAGGGTTTAGGGTTTAGGGTTTAGGGTTTAGGGTTTAGGGTTTAGGGTTTAGGGACTTTGGGTTGGTGCGTTCCTCCCTCAAGCCCACTTCAACCCCAGACCCAGGAAGCCCTAAGAGGTCAGACTGCGGGGTTCATCGCAGGGTCTGAAGAGGTAAATTCCTGTAACCATGAACCCCCAGATTCACCTAAAGCCGAAACCTAAACGCAAAAAACAGGCAAAAACAGGATCCCTAAGCTCGATGTCCTAAGCCTGCGCATCTCGCAGTTCTTGGGCTTTGCAGCTAACATAGGCGGGGAGCTCAGCTTAGGCGACCATGTGGCTTTTAGGGTTTAGGGTTTAGGGTTTAGGGTTTTGGGTGCCAGGGGTTAGGGTTTCGATGGGTTTCCCAATTGGGAGGCCCACACGCCTCACTATGGTTAAACCTCCCAACAAAGCTGTGCTCTAAACCACTAAGCCAAAACCCTAGATCCCTAGCTCCCTGAAACCCAAGCCCTTCCTGCTTTCCCGTGCGTATCAAGCCTCCTCTTCTTCTCGCTGCCGATCCGGCGCAGCGTCTATCAAGACCTGGCGAAGACATGTCGAGTTTCCGGAAATTCAGGGGACCTATTGTGGAGCTCCTGGAGAAAGATTGCAATTGTCTCGTGCGCGCAAGAGGTACCCACGTTTTCAACGACATACAGAATATACCCTCACCGCCTGAGACACGAGCGGTGTCCACAGTTTCAATCAGCCCCCACCCATATTGCCCAGGTGCCCCCAAAACAAGAGGCTGGGACCTACTTGGGCATTTCCCAAAACAAGCGTGCCCCTCATAATACTAAACCCTAAACCCTAAACTTGAGGAACCCTAAACCCTACACCCAAAAGACCGTGATCTACATTCTTGGGACCCGCCCACAGCCCTTTTGCGGAAACCCCATCTTCGATGCGGAGGTTGTGAGGGTTGTAGGGCTTAGGAGCCCTGAACCCTAAACCCCAAAAGCCTCAAAATTGAAAACCCTAACCCTATAGAGGTTTGGGGTTCTGGGCTTTTGGTTCTAGAACTTGGGGTTGGGGGTGTAGAGTATCATGGACTCAGGGCTAGGGGGTAGGGGTTGGAGGCTGAAGATGATCTGGAGCTTCAGATTGCCTTTTCGGGGTTGGGGGGCTTTCCCTCAAAACCGGCTCAAACGAAGGAAGCTCAGGACGCGGCTTCACCAGTCTCCTCGCCTCGCTAATGAGGGTTTAGGGTTTAGGGTTGAGGGTTTAGGGTGGGAGTTGGGCGGGTTCAGGGTAACGTTTCGGGCTAATCAACATCTTGCGTGGCCGCGACTACTTTATGAAGCAGGAGTGGAAGTGGATTCCCAGCGCATGTGGTCTAATCCTGTTTCAACCCCTGTGGGGACGAAATGAACCCTAGAAGGGTTTATGGCTCATATTCCTGAACAGGAGCTACAGTAGTACAGGGTATGTGACCCCACGTTTGGTCCCCAGCGCACCCTGAACTTAACCCCCTATACATCTTCGAGAGGAAGCGATGGGTTGCGAGGGTTGGAGCAGCGAATTGCCAGGAGACCCTAAACCCTAAACCCTGAACCCCTCTCCCCTTCACACCCAAATTGCCCCCCCCCCCCCCCCCCCCCACTCACAGCCAAGGTCGCCACTCTCTGGGTGTTGCTGGGGGCCAACATCCTGTATAGTGTTTAGGGTTACAAAGGGCTTAGGGCTGAGGGTTCAGGTTCAGCGTTCAAGCTCAGTTTGGAGGGCGGAGGGATAGCTTTTAGGGGTCAAGGTGTTCGCTGAGGGTTCAAGGGTTTGGGGCTTAGGCCCCCGGCCCCCGGTCTTAGGTGGTAAACGAAATATCCCTCTGGAAATGGTCGCTGGAAGTACAGGGTTTCATTATACATATACATATATATATACACATAAGTATGTATGTATGTATATATATATACACATAAATATGTATGTATATATATATATATATATTTATTTATTTATGTATGTATTTGTGTGTGTGTTTAGAGGCTCTCTATATATATATATATACACATGTATATACATATGTATATATGTATATATACACACATATCACTGTCATATTAAAGGCGTAGCATTGTCATATGGCGTGCATTCGTATCCCATTTGTATTCTGTTGCTATGGAATTATCATTACGTTGCATCGCATCATCATACTCATGTCCTCATGCTCTCAGACTACTGCTACTATTCCGAGTTACAGTGTTGTTGTTACTATTATTGTTGTTGCGCTATTAATGTTTATTGTGATTCTTGCTACCAGTATCATCATTGGACCACCTTGTTATGGTACATGTACTTGTCTATTTTTCATGTAGGTAGTTATGGATTTCAACAATACCTTGGGGACCAAATGAACCCTGAAATTGAAGCCATATACCTTGTACTACTGTAGCTCCTAGAAAGGTAGATACGCTTTTTAGTATCATTTGGTCCCTGCAAGGAAGGCCCCCCCCCCCCCCCCCCCCCCCCCCCCCCTAGTTCTAAGTTTAGTTATGGGGACCTAAATTGGGATACCAGGATCCTAACTTAGGGCATAAGTTCCTTAACTATATTTAGTATAGTAAGGGGGGCCCGTCCTTGTATAAGGTAAGCCTTCACCCAAAGCCGGTCCTGAGCCAGGAAGACTCGACCGAATGCACGCTTCACGGCCTCGCACGGGACTCTTGCAGCTTTTCTTGCGCACGCGATATGTGGGAACTACCCACCTGAAACGGGCCTGATTTCTTTTGGGGGTGGGACTGTGCTCTCTCTGGCGTGCGCAAGCTGCGGCTTTGAAGATTCAAGGCTAAGGATTCACAGTCGCAGATTGAGCGTGTTGTCGCTTTTTCAGCCCGAAAACACTAAACCCTAAACCCTAAGCCGCAACACTACTTAGCAACCAACCCCTCAAAGAAGAAAAAACAACAAGATTGAAGGTTGAGAGCCCCATCCCATTTATTGGGCCAGAAAACCCTAGAAGCTCTAAGGAGCTTAGGGTTTAGGGTTTAGGATTTAGTGTTTAAGGGCCCTAAACCCTAAAACCTACGCTCAGCTTCCACCCCTTTGACAGAAGTGGAGGATGGAAGCCTCTGGGGGCGTAAGAGGGTTCGGTCTCTGGCGAAGCGGACGCCGTTTCGTTGCATCAAGCAACACGGCTAACGCTGACTGGTCATCAGCTGTCTCGGGATGGTTCCCCTTGGCTAGCCGGCTGGCCCTCCAAGGAGTAGCCAGCCTTCTTAAGGATGTCAACCGGTGCACCGTCGACGATGGCAGACAGTGAATGGTGGCGCTGAGGCCCTCCACAGCTCGTACAAGGGCCTCGACCGCGGGACCCTCCTCGGTCAGTACGATGTGCTTGGTGATCCCTGGCTTGGGGTACCCGGCCACGCCTGTAATCGCCTGCTGCGTCGAGAAAATGCCAAGCTGCACTGCGCAGGCGCTCTGGCCTGCGCCTGTGGTAACGATGTATGCTCCGCCACTGTTGCCTGCAAAACAGTTTTTGCCTTGGCTGTGATGGATGAAGCTCATCTCTGGTCGGCTGACCTAGGCCCTAAACCCCTAACCCCTAAACCCTAAACCCTAAACCCTAAACCCTAAACCCTAAACCCTAAACCCTAAACCCTAAACCCTAAACCCTAAACCATATCCCCTAGACCCTAAAAGCCGAAACCCTAAAGCCAGTGAAGGCAACCAAATACCCCTGAAACTCCTACTATACCAAGGAACCTACCCTAACCCTAAACCCTAAACCCAAAACTCGAAACCCTGAACTCGAAACCCTAAACCCTAAACCCTGGGTCCCCTGCTGGGTACGGGGGAATGCAGTGTTTCGCAAGGGCCTACCTCGAATTCCTTCATGTAGATTCCTGTAAGCAACCACGAACAGACCCGAAGCCCGAAATCCAAAAGGGCCCCTAACTTTAGTGTTTAAGAGGACCTGGGAAACCAAAATTCGTGGAAGGGACTTTCACCAAATTGGGGCATCTATTTTTGGGGCATCCTTTTCAACTTCTCTCTACATATTTGCGGTACATCTGAAGGATATTCCTTCTTCGGGAAACACCCATATGCAATAACAAA